ATATATATATATATATATATTTAATTGTTTTTAATTTAATTTAATTTAATTTTTGTATTTTAATGATTTAATTAATTATTACTAAATGTTTTAATTTGATTGTTTTTGAATGATTGATTTATTTTAATTGTGTATATTTTTATGATTTAATAGTTGATTAAATCAAAGTTCAGTAAAAGTCAGTGTTTTATTGTATGTTATATTAAACATCAGATTTATCCGGTTATAAGAGAAGAGGCCTGATTGAGAAGGTTGATAGACCAGGATAAGTCACACTATGGCACTTTTGTGTGTTTTATTACTTGCTAAAAGTATCTCAGTGGTCCACAGCAGACTGATCTGATTCTTGGCGGCTCTCTTTGTAAAATGGGTCCATTAAATGAATAATTTCTGCGTAGGAGCAGAGTGATTAGTGAACGAGCAGAAGAGCTCTACAGATCCGTTAAAGAGCGTCTGCGCTGTGAGTGTTTCTGCTCTGTCTGTGGGCAGAGAATTACAGCGTCAGTCACGTGCGTCTCATCAAGAGCGTTCATTAAAAACGCATTATTCGCCTCTGAATTAACCTCTCAAAATTAAATCTCTCAAAACCAAATTGCTCCAATTATAATGAACAAAACCGCACTGGAATCGCTGATGACTGACAGCTGTTTGTGATTCAATACTTTATTCGCCCGCCCGTCAGAAATACAGTGGTTTTGTTTATTAAGGTCACATGTATGAATCAATTACGTTGAGATTTATTTGTTTTGTATGCATACTGTATTTATCACTGTTGTATAATATGTATAAATTCATACACAATTGTAGCAATATACTCTACTGTTCAGATCTCATCGCGCCAAATGTGAATTTAAAGGATTAGTTCACTTCCAGAATAAAAATTCCCTGATAATTCACTCGCCCTCATGTCATCCGAGATGTTCATGTCTTTCTGTCTTCAGTCGCAAAGAAATTACGTTTTTTTGAGGAAAACATTCCAGGATTTTTCTCCATATAATGGACTTCAATGGGGATCAACGGGTTCAAAGTGCAGTTTCAGTGCAGCTTCAAAGACCTCTACAGGATCCCAACCAAGGAATAAGAGTCTTATCTAGAGAAACCATCGCTCATTTTATATTTATATACTTTTTAACCACAGACGCACGCACACCTCGGCTGGGATCCTGTAGAGCTCTTTGAAGCTGCACCTTCAACCCGTTGATCCCCATTGAAGTCCATTATATGGAGAAAAATCCTGGAATGTTTTCCTCAAAAAAACGTAATTTCTTTGCGACTGAAGACAGAAAGACATGAACATCTCGGATGACATGGGGGCGAGTAAATTATCATTTTTATTCTGGAGTGAACTAATCCTGTAAACAGGCTGGAGTCCAAATATTCCTCTCAGAGGAGTCTCTGTCCGAACATGTTGAAATCCTTCACACAGTCGTGTGTAACGGGAGGCTCCCGCTCGTCTCAGTCTTCAGAGGAGTGTGTTTGTGTTCACAGGCCGCAGGACGCCGGCGGGCCCAGTGTTCAGAGTCTGTCCATATCTGACAGTCACCTGGCGGAGCTAGACAGCGAGACGCTGCGTCTGTTCGGCCCCGGGGCCCTGGAGACGCTGGAGCGCTGCTGGGGCGTTCAGACAGCCGCGAGTGTCACCACCGTCGCCTTCAGATACATCCACTTCGACTCCATCATTCCCATGTTCCTGCGCATCCGCCTCAAATTCCCAAACCTCACGGTAAGGATCACAGCGGTCGTGACAGGCATTTGCAGATGTTTGAGCTCGAGGCAGATTCAAATGAACCAGTGCAAGCACAGCAACTGACTCCGATAGTGACTCAGATAGTGTATAATAAGTTGTGGTAATAACATAAAAGTTTGCTTATTTGCAGATCTTATGTTCAGGTCATATGAAATAGTTTAGTAATATCCCACCAGCAAGAGTGCTGCTTTTCCTCAATATCTGCACCACTGCAAATGTGATATACTGTAGATTTATAGAACAGCTCAATAAACAAGTTCATATTGTGCTACATTTTAGACTCAAAATTGTCTTTGTTTATATTTTTGCAAATGAAAATACTTCCAATCAAAGTCACAGCAGAACTGTTGAGTCACTGATCAACACACAGCAATGATTCACTACTGAATGAATCCGTGTGTTTGAACGAATCAAGTGAATCAGTGATTCAGTAACTCACTCAAAAAGACAGCTTCATTTTTGAGTGAGTCAGTTGTTTGAAGTGAGTGAGTCCGTGATTCAGTGAGTCATTCATAACGACATTCACTTGCTTCATTTATGAAGGAATCAGCCGTTTGAATGAATTTAGTGAGTCAGTGATTCAGTGAGTCTTCATAACGACATTCACTTGCTTCATTTATGAAGGAATCAGCCGTTTGAATGAATTGAGTGAGTCAGTGATTCAGAGAGTCATTCATAACGACATTCATTTGCTTCGTTTCTGAACGAATCAGCCGTTTGAATGAATTTAGTGAGTCAGTGATTCAGTGAGTCATTCATAACGACATTCACTTGCTTAGTTTCTGAACGAATCAGCCGTTTGAATGAATTGAGTGAGTCAGTGATTCAGTGAGTCATTCATAACGACATTCATTTGCTTCGTTTCTGAACCAATCAGCCGTGTGAATTAATTTAATGAGTCAGTGATTCAGTGAGTCATTCATAACGACATTCACTTGCTTCATTTTTGAAGGAATCAGCCGTTTGAATGAACTGAGTGAGTCAGTGATTCAGTGAGTCATTCATAACGACATTCACTTGCTTCATTTCTGAACGAATCAGCTGTTTGAATGAATTGAGTGAGTCAGTGATTCAGTGAGTCATTCATAACGACATTCACTTGCTTCATTTCTGAACGAATCAGCCGTTTGAATGAATCATGACCGTTTTAACACACACGTCTCGTGCTGTTGCATCCTGCGCAGCACCTGATGTTCATGGAGACGAGCATCACTCATCTCCCTCAGCTGGCGGCTCTGGCTCAGGTACGGCGTCTGGAGCAGATCAGTGTTCATCCAGAGTGGAATCCGGTGGTGAGACTGACGCTCTGGAGATCCTTCCTCATCTACAGACTGCAGCACCTCAACCTGCAGAAGATCAACGGCACCGAGGTCTGAGCAGCAGCAGTCAGTGTGTGTGTGTGTGTGTGTGTGTGTCGGGAGCGTGTGTGTGATGATGTTTGTGTGTTTCAGGTCACCATGAATGAGATCATGGCCTCGGAGCGGATGTTTGGCGCTCTGGGTCACGTCGCTGCTACAGAAACGCCACGCTGCCGCCTGCTGCTGCTGCTGGAGGAGTCCAGGTGTGTGAGAGATCCTTCAACACAGACTAAAACACTCACATTACCTGTGAAATACCTGAGTGTGTGTGTGACGACAGGCCAGTGCATGTCCACAGCAGCTGCCATCCTTCAGCGTGTGTGTGTGTGTCCAGGATTATTTAAGTGCTCCAGAACTTATGGTATTAAACAGTTTCTTCTTGTGCTGTTCAGAAAATCTTTTCATCCGTCTGCTGCACCCATGAGCACCTGGGAGACTTTAAAAAGTGTTATTTCTGTACCTGGAAAAGTCATAGCAATTCATAAAATTAAAACTCCATGGGTATTTTATTTATTTATTTATTTTTATTTTACCCGAGCAGAGATGGTGCTCTTGAAACTAATATTTAATTTAGTTAAATTTTTATTTTTCTTTAATTTAGTTTAATTTTTATTACTTTAAGTTGGCATGGGCTTCAGACTCTTCAGCTTTGTGTTCAGCAATTTTATTTATTTATTTTTATTGTATTATTATGTTAAGTTGGCATGGACTTCAGAGGCCTTTATTTGTTTATCAGTTATATATATACAGTATATATGTATTCTACTATTTTATGCTGGCCAGAACTTCATGGAATGCCTGGAGCGCCTCCTCATCAAGTGCCTTGTACAACTCTGCAGGGATACCATCTTTGCCGGTTGCCTTGCCAGAGCTCATTTGCTTGATGGCCCTCTGAACCTCAGCTAAGGATGGGGGGTCATCCAGCTGTTCGAGAGTGGGATTTTGGGGGATCTGGTCGAGGGCTGACTGGTTGACTGCAGATGGGAGGTTGAGCAGTTGGCTGAAGTGTTCTCTCCATCTGTTGTTGATGCCCTGTTTGACTTTGATGAGCGTGGTGCCGTCTGCAGAAGGTAAGGGGGCAGAACCAGATTTTGAAGGACCATAGACTGCCTTGAGAGAGCCAAAGAACTGCCTGGCGTTGTTTGTGTCGGCGTAGTGTTGTATTTCTTCCGCCGCCTTCTCCCACCACTGACCTTTCATCTTTCTGATTTCTCGCTGTGCCTGGGCTTGGAGGGACTTGAACCTCTCTTTTTGGATGCGGACCTTGGGTCTTTCTGCCACTGCAGGAATGCTTTGTTCTTCATGCCCAGCCGGTCTCCAATGGCACTTTCATTTTCATCGAACCAGTCCTGATGAGTGCGTTCCTTGGGGCCTAGCGCCTCCTTGGCTGTCTCCGTCACTACATCCCTGAACTGGTTCCATTTCTCAGTTGGATTTCCAGTTATTGGTTCATTGGCAGACAGCTTCTCATCCAGCGTGGACTGAAACTTGTGAAGGTAGGAAGGATCTTGGAGTCTGACGATGTTGAATGCTGAGTATATGACCTTAGCAAGCCTTGGGTGGTGAGGGACGATGTGCAGCTGGAGTATCGCTCTAACTAGCCTGTGGTCTGTCCAGCATTCTGCTCCCCTGATGGCCCTGGTGACAAGGACGTCTCGGATGTCTCTTTGGCGCACAATGATGTAGTCTATCTTGTGCCACTGCTTTGATCTGTGGTGCATCCAAGTTGTCTTGTACATGGTCGCCATCCTGAATATAGTGTTCGTGATGAGGAGCTCGAACTCTGCACATTTGCTGAGCAAAATCTATCCAAAAGCGTTCTGACGTTCCATGCTCCCAGTAGGAGCTTCTTTTTTTTTTAATTCTGTTTTTGTTTCGACCTTCCATGAAGTTCTGACCAGCATCTGGGAAGAGGAAGATATGCCCTCGCAGCTCCGTGACGCCCTTTATAAGTTTCCCTGTACAAGAACAAAGGCACACGAGCAGATTGCGGCAACTACAGAGGTGTCTCTTTACTCTCCATCGCAGGCAAGATTCTCGCCTGCATTATGCTCAACAGACTACTAACATCAGTCTATGAACAGAACCTGCCTGAGTCACAGTGTGGCTTCTGCCCAGATCGCAGCACCATCGACATGATCATCACTGTGAGGCAGGTGCAGGAGAAGTGCCTAGAACAGAACATGAACCTCTATATAGTCTTCATCGATCTGACCACGGCATTCAACACGGTCAACAGAGACGCCCTGTGGGTCATACTCAGAAAGCTCAGCTGCCCAGCAAAGTTCACCAAACTGATCCAGCTGTTTCACATCGACATGACAGGAGAAGTCTTGTCAGGTGGAAAGCCATCCGATCAATTTGGCATCTCCAATGGCGTGAAGCAAGGCTGTGTCCTCGCTCCGGTGCTCTTCAATCTGTTCTTCACCCAAGTGCTGCTACATGCTGTGAGAGACCTGAACCTGGGCGTGTACATCAGGTACCGTCTCGACGGCTCACTGTTCGACCTTCGCCGCCTGGCCGCCAAAACAAAGACACTGGAGAGGCTCTTCAAAGAAGCTCTCTTTGTAGACAACTGTGCTTTCATGGCGCATCAAGAGAATCATCTACAGACCATCGTAGACAGATTATCTGTAGCAACAAAGCTGTTTGGCTTACCCATCAGCCTTAGCAAGACAGAAGTTCTATACCAGCCTGCACCAGGAAGAGCAGCAGACCAGCCGTGCATCACCATCGATGGCACCCAGCTCTCAGATGTTACCACCTTCAAGTACCTGGGCAGCACAATCTCCAGCGACGGATCTCTGGACTAAGTTCACCAAACTGATCCAGCTGTTTCACATCGACATGACAGGAGAAGTCTTGTCAGGTGGAAAGCCATCCGATCAATTTGGCATCTCCAATGGCGTGAAGCAAGGCTGTGTCCTCGCTCTGGTGCTCTTCAATCTGTTCTTCACCCAAGTGCTGCTACATGCTGTGAGAGACCTGAACCTGGGCGTGTACATCAGGTACCATATCGACGGCTCACTGTTCGACCTTCGCCGCCTGGCTGCCAAAACAAAGACACTGGAGAGGCTCTTCACAGAAGCTCTCTTTGCAGACGACTGTGCTTTCATGGCACATCAAGAGAATCATCTACAGACCATCGTAGACAGATTCTCCGTAGCAACAAATCTGTTTGGCTTAACTATCAGCCTCAGTAAGACAGAAGTTCTATATCAGCCTGCACCAGGAAGAGCAGCAGACCAGCCATGCATCACCATCGATGGCACCCAGCTCTCAAATGTTACCACCTTAAAGTACCTGGCCAGCACAATCTCCAGCAACAG